ACCTAATGTTTATTTAAGTTTAGAATACATTATCCAGTGTTTATTTCACTGTATATATATATGTAACCTGGTCAGGATTGCATTTCACCTTTTTAAACGCACATTAATCACATCATGTGTAAAAGAACAAACCTCGAATACAGTTTATGTAGGATAGACGTAATTGTATGTATATATGTAACTAGATTAGCATTTTAAAAACACATCAATCACCTTCTGTGATTGATTGTTCAATAAATCACTGAACTATGTCTAACAGATCTCTATGGAGGAACCATGAACCCTGTCCATGGAGGAAAGAAGAAAATGTATATATGCTGTTTGCATTGTCTGTCGAAGGAAAAAGAAATGTATTTCATTATACATTATCTAATGTTTATGTCATGGTGTTATATAATACAGTATCCAATGTTCATTTCATGGTGTTATATGATACATTATCCAATGTTTATTATCATAGATTATCTAATAGTCCAGCGACGTTGTATGCATACAATAACTTAGTCCAATGATGTCATTGACGTCAACTTCAGGCCTCTGGGATATGTTTCAGTGGATATTCTGGCTTGGATTATTTAAAAAATTCATAAATGAAACAAGGCGACATGCCTACGAAATATTTCGGAATGTAAAATTTACATAATAAGAGTTAAATTTAACAAACACATTCATCAGCAACGCAAAGTTTGGGAAGTCACGTTGACGAAGCAGCCTATTCATCCCTGAGATTTAGGACAGGAAGAGTCCTATCTGTCTTCCCCTTGCCTCTGAGAGGGGGAGATAGCATACTATATGTATCCCCTTGCTTCCGAGAGGGGGAGATACCATGCTAGTATCCCCTTGCTTCCGGGAGGGGGAGATAGCATACTATATGTATCCCCTTGCTTCCGAGAGGGGGAGATACCATGCTATATGTATCCCCTTGCTTCCGAGAGGGGGAGATAGCACACTATATGTATCCCCCTTGCCTCCGAGAGGGGGAGATACCATGCTATATGTATCCCCTTGCTTCCGAGAGGGGGAGATAGCATACTATATGTATCCCCTTGCCTCAGAGAGGGGGAGATAGCATACTATATGTATCCCCTTGCCTCAGAGAGAGGGGGAGATAGCATACTATATGTATCCTCTTGCCTCCGAGAGGGGGAGATAGCGTACTATATGTGTCCCCTTGCCTCAGAGAGGGGGAGATAGCGTCCCTCTCAACCTCAGGACACAGAGACCCTCCCATCCTCCCCCGGAAACAGACCGGTGAGGAGCCGGATGTATACTCAGCATTCCACAACACTTGCCGGCATTACTCTACCTTGCGTCAGGTGCTCTACACTAGATATTCAAAAATGTACACTATCAGGATATTCAAGAATGTGTAACCAATGAGCGATGGGGGAAATACAGCGCCAGACATGCAGAGACAAAGCAGCCTCAAATGTAAACATTGTCCAAAGTAACATTCCGTGAACGCTTCTGGTATATATAATATTTTTGTGGGACACTTTCTTGGTCCATATATATATTGTACACATTTTTTATGTACAGAAATGTTTCTTATTATGTTGAGGTAAGTGGTTTCTGTCATGTGCTATAAGGAACGTGGAACGCACGCTGCATGAGTGTGGAACCATGCCACAGGCTCGTGGAACCATGCCACAGGCGCATGGAACCGTGCCACAGGCGCGTGGAACCGTGCCACAGGCGCGTGGAACCATGCCACAGGCGCGTGGAACCATGCCCCAGGCGCGTGGAACCATGCCCCAGGCGCGTGGAACCATGCCACAGGCGCGTGGAACCATGCCACAGGCGCGTGGAACCGTGCCACAGGCGCGTGGAACCGTGCCACAGGCGCGTGGAACCATGCCACAGGCGCGTGGAACCGTGCCACAGGCGCGTGGAACCATGCCACAGGCGCGGGGAACCATGCCACAACAGTGTGGAACCATGCCACAACAGTGTGGAACCATGCCATAACAGTGTGGAACCATGCCACAGGCCTTACGCTCAACCTCAAACAAATCACTGATCAGAGAAGTGAAGCGTCCAATCAGATTCTGCAAACCTCACGCGTGATTGCCCAATCCACTTGCATGATTGGTCCGCAAGCAGCCAATCAAGACCCAACAGGCCAACTGATAGACTCTGCAATATAAGACGGCCAACAGCCAGTTTAAATTAATAGATGACATTTATATATATACCCCCAAGGTCAGTTTTCAGTTTCTTGTGTATATACATTGAGAGTTTACTGTGTCCAGGAGTTAAGTATACTTGCTGGTTGGTCAGTAGGCACTTGTTTGACCTTAATAACCCTGCAGGGCTATTAAGGTCAAACAAGTGCCTACTAGGCTTCAGACTCCAGCTTGACTAAGCCTTAGCTCTTATACTCGAACACAAAAATGCCAAGTGTGAGAACACTGTGTCAATGACATTGTAATTAATGTAAATGTTTCAAACATATATATAGAACCGTATAATATTATTACACACTTATTTTTTAAATGATAGGTAAATAACAGGCAGTGCTAACACTATTAAACAATTTGTGTAATGGATATGAAGTGTCACCATTATTTGTTGTTTATGTCCTTGGACTGCTCTCTCTGATGCTTTTCTGCTGCCGTTCATACAGAGAGCTGCGGGTACTCGATAACCTATAGCTCACAGGCCGGGTTGTCTGCGGGTACTCGATAACCTATTGTTCACAGGCCGGGTTGTCTGCGGGTACTCGATAACCTATTGCTCACAGGCCGGGTTGTCTGCGGGTACTCGATAACCTATTGCTCACAGGCCGGGTTGTCTGCGGGTACTCGATAACCTATTGCTCACAGGCCGGGTTATCTGGGGGTACTCGATAACCTATTGTTCACAGGCCGGGTTATCTGGGGGTACTCGATAACCTATTGTTCACAGGCCGGGTTGTCTATGGGTACTCGATAACTCTTCCTGGCCAATCCCCGGTACGTCGGCCCATCCAACACCACATAAACCAGCAGCTAACATACTGCTATAACCGACGGTGGCCACTTTGTCCTCTCACAGGACCAAGTCAAGAGTTCTTAGACTGCCCAAGGAGAATTGCCTTCCTCAAATCAATCGCCTCCTTACGTCACCTCTGTGAACATAAAACGTTATTAGATAGACAGACAGCATATTGGGTGACCATATGATAACACTCTTCCACCGGGGAATTGACATTGTAAATTGTAGCCACAACCTAGATGGCATTGATCTCGATACGCCACCCACCAGAGGTCATCATCATCAACCTCCTCTTCTAACTGAGGCAGGAAACCGGAGCCTTTCACCGATGCCACTCCACCACCAACAGATGGCGTTGATTGCGTAGCACCCAATACCGGGGAATTTGAGTGCAGACTCATAGATGGCGCTGAAATTGCCACCTACCAGGAAGTAGGTACCCAGGCAGCTTGTTATGAGGCTGCATTCTGAGTGGGGTCTGTAATTGGACCTCCTGGGTGGATGGACCTCGATATAAACCTAACGGGTATAAATATACTCTGGCTGCCTGTCCCCTGACACAATAAATTATTATTATAATTTATTGTGTTATTAAATTTATTATTATTATTCAAGACTGTTCTCGAATCCATTGTTCATATAAACATTATTGTTACTAGCTCAAGACTGTAACCTGCTTACCTTACCTTGAGGTTACCTTGAGGTGCTTAACTTAATGAATTTTAAGGTTCGGTTCCTGAGCCCATTTATAGGAAAACAGAGGTTATCTTGAGATCTTGAGGTTATCTTGAGATGATTTCGGGATTTGTGTCCCCGCGACCCGGTCCTCGACCAGGCCTCCATCCCCAGGAAGCAGCCCGTGACAGCTGACTAACACCCAGGTACCTATTTACTGCTAGGTAACAGGGGCATCAAGGTGAAAGAAACTCTGCCCATTGTTTCTCGCCGGCGCCCGGGACCGAACCCGGGACCACGCGCCCCGTGTTCTGCCCGCTCAGCCACCGACTCCCTCAGACAACTTGAATAACAAAAATTTTCCCAGAGTTAAGTCAAATCACGTATCAGGGACGGTTGAGGGCCACAGGGCTGACAACACTGCAAACCTGGCATGACAGGGCGGATCTCATTGAAACTTAAAATGCTGAACATTTTGAAGGATGTTGATCCAGATAATTTCTTCATAAATTCAGACGTAACACAAACAAGGAGCAACGGTTTCAAGCTCAACAAGCTACAATGTAGGACTGAGAACAGGAGATGCTTTTTCACCCATGAAAACCCATGGAAACGAAGACTCGCCGAAGCTGTTAATGCCAAAACTCTTAATTTTAAAATCCAACTCGAAGAGATCATCATGGCAAATGGAGGTACCTTTGACAAGCCACCAGCTTCTTGTCTTCCTCGAGGTCACTAGTGTTAGTGCCCCTCAGGTAAATTCAGGTAAAATTATGAAGGGTAAGGGAAAGGAACTATCAGGAAAAGGTGACAAGACATTACGACTATACAGCATTTGAAAGGGATCAGGATAAGGATTTGGGATGGGATGGGGGAAAGGAATGGTGTCCAGCCACTTGGACGGTCGAGGATTGAACGCCGACCTGCATAAAGCTTCGCTTTACCGTCCATCCCAAGTCATTAAGAGAGCGGATGGCGGCCTTCTGCTGTCGCCCCTCACCGCCCTTCGAAAACAATATGGACATTTGGTACACATGTAATTACACTCGCTTAGTCAGTTGGTTAGAAATATATTTGTTAAGACTATGACGTAGTTGTTAAGTGTTTCTTACATCCATACTGCAGACAAGACATGACAGATCATCATAGGTTAGGTTAGAGTGTCTTAAACTTCGTGTACGAAGAAGAGATAGCCAACCCCCTACATAGCTCGTCTTCTAGTTGCTAAAGCTGTGTATATATAGTCAAATTAAGCATCATTAGCTTAAGTTACATTGGGTTAGGTTAGATGTGCATAACTAAAAATAAATAAATAAATCCCAGGGGGGAGTAGCGTGGTGTACGAAATGTGTTGTGTTGGGGAAGGTTGGTCCAGGTGTGGGAAGATGGAGGCGTCCGGCGCTCCGTCCTGCGAGCTCTCCGACAAGTCCAAGAGATACGACCGCCAGCTGAGGTGAAGTGTCATAAGGTCAGGGATATATACACCGAGAGCTCTACCCATTATCTCGGGGTATATACAGGGAGCGTGTATATACTTTACCCCCTGGACGGTGTTGAGGAAATAAAGTATGGTTGATGGATGGTCAGTAAAATGTTTGTTAAGTGGCTTTAATAACTCTTCCAGAGGTTGATATGTCTTCAGACCAACACGAAACTGTCATACAATGACGTATTCTCTCTCCCTCGGTGCTCTAGCTGTTGTATTTATGATGTATATTTGGTGAGGTTTGTGTGTTGTTTATGTTTACGTCCAGTCAGCTGTCACCCGAGAGCTGCTGGGGGGGGGGGGAGGATGGTTTTCTTAGCTTTCAGCTTAGTAACCACCTTAGCTTTTAAGGTGGTTACTAACCTCCTGGAGATTATGCGTAAGGTTCATGTACAGTACTGTGTGGTGATTAAGTATCATGGTTAACGTGGTTGTGGGGGTCAGTGGCCCCCATGGTCTGTGTGACTAGGGGGGCCCCCTGGATGGTTTTCTGGTCAACCAGGCTGTTAGATGCTGCTGCTTGCAGTCTGGTGCGTTTCCATCTCGTTCCTCGCGTAGCCTATGTGTAGGTCAGGCCAAGAGTCGTGGGTTAAATTCCTATGGCAGAACAGAAGGTGATGTTTCCATTCACCTGATGACTTGTCACCTGGCAATAAATAGGTAGCTGAGATTAGGGCAAGAGTTGAAGGTTGCCGCCTGTCAAGGTCGGACATTGTCCACAGGGGACCACGATGGGCCAACCTTCCATGCCTTCCTTACTCTAATTCACTTGCTCATTACTGTATTATTATTTTTTATGAAAAAGCATAAAATGCAAAAAAGTCATCTCAAATTTGAATTTTCCTTCCATTGGTACCCCTGCTTCTGTACCTATCTAGCAAGGTTCTACTTTTTGGATCGGTAACTACATGAATTTGAAAAATTTCTTGGTACCATATAATATCTAATTCTAGACTGGAATTGCAACAGAGGAATGCAAATTGGTGGCAGACTTTAGCATGTCATGGTCCAGGGGGTTAAGGCATATTCCTGGGGTTTCCCCGGAATGCTGGTTTGATCCCTGACCTGCTCCAAAGATCTTTCATGGATGTATCACGTTCTTGTGATTTCCTTGTGTATTCAGGCTAGATCTGGGTATATACTGATTTGGAATTAAGGTCGTTCATTTGTGGAATAAATTGGCAGGTAAATTTAAATAATAATAGCCATAATAATAATATATATTTATGTAAGCAAAAGTATATACAGTACAGGTACATGCATACATAGGATAAAAGAACAAATGAATCATGGGTAGATAAAAGAATGTATGAATCATGGGGTAGGGCAGATGCAATGCCTAAAGCTACTAATACAGCATGTGTTTCAGGCATAAAATGAAAAAAAAGAACTAAAAAACTGTACTTAAAACTAAATGAAAGAAAAAAATAATGAATTGAAGTAGATCAATATAAATAACAATTATTAAACAATCATTGGAACAACAAAAATATCAACAGAATATATTAAATTTACTACTTGTGCTTTCAGGGGTTGTGCTTCGGCTCTGGTTCCGCCGCTCGACTTTCAATCATCCAATATGTGTTGGGGGTGTGGTGGAGGGTTGTGGGCAAGGGGAGGGGGGGGGGGTACGCAATCACGTCCATCCTGTGTGTTCATATGTACAGTACTTCCATACTTCAGGCTTGTATTGGCCCCCCCTCACCCCAACTGTTGAAACTACAGACCTCTAGGTTACAACCACACAACAGTTACCTAACTTGTACCTATTTACTATTTAAATATTTACTGCTTGTACAGTACTTATTAATAGGTAACTTGTACCTATTTACTGCTTGGTGAATAGAGGCATTAGATGAGAAGAAATGTGCGTAACCATTTCTGTTCAGCCTGGGATTTGAACCTGGGATTCCTGATTGTGTCAAGAACGAACCCAACTGTACTACTGAGATGTCAATTTCCTCGTGCATTAATTCAAGAATGATCCAGTGTTTTGTTACTTTAAATCTACTGACTAATTTTATTTAACAAATTCAGAATTTTTACATATTTTGACATTTACTGCACCAGAATCTTTACTACAGTTTATTGGGTTTTGCCAGTTTTTATTTATTTATTATTTTTATTTAATAGTTTTTAACCTTTCATTGCAATACTCTAAGCTACATTTGCTTAGGAAAGATGTTCACTGTGATAGACAAATTTTAGAAGGCATAAAATCGGTACAGTAGTTTCAACATTGTGGAACATTCATCCAGACATCTTGCTTTAGGAACAGGAGATTGGATATGATGTTGATATCATGACCTGGTGACAAGATACAAATATGACATATCATCGTTCAAAAAATTGGGCTGATGTTCATGGGTACTGTACAGTATTGTAATACTGTACTGTATACATTTCTATTTTCAGATTATGGGGAGATCATGGACAGTCATCGTTAGAATGTGGCCATGTTTGTCTGATCAATGCCAGTGCAGCAGGAACAGAAACATTCAAGTCCCTAGTTCTGCCAGGCGTAGGAGCAATCACCATCGTTGATGATGCAAAGGTCACACCAACAGATGTTGGCAACAAGTAAGTCGAGAAACCGAATACTTTTTGTCGTTTTCAGCAATAGTACTGTACATTGTATGCTATTTCACCATATCAAAATTGGTGGTTAATCTAGATGATTTCCCATGGCTTTGAGATTCCTGTAAGATTTGATGGGGCTTTCCTTGCAGTTGCTTCCCTTACTTTGTACTGTATCTTTTATTTGACTCATTACCAGTACAGTATTTGAATAATTTTTTCCTTTGGTATTTTGGTAATCGGGATTGCTTATTTTTAGAATTTTTTCTCCTTCTCTAGAAGATTTCTGTTTTGATAATATATTATATATATTAAAAGTTCCTCCATTTTGTTGTTGTTGCTGCTGCTACTACTGTAGTATGTACAGTACTTGTATTATGATAAACTCCTCTTCCTTGGATGTTACTTTGTGGTAGATGCTGGTTGTGGGATGAAGGTAGCTTAAGTGCCCTGAATGATCGAGAAGGCAGGTAAGGGTAGCTTGTGAAGCCCCTTGTCTGATAAAAAAATGACAGACTGAATGTGTTCTAACCCTGTAGACTCTTCAGTCTCGCTTGACTTTCTTTTTGGGGTGCCAGTGTGAGATTAACCATCATTTTGACTGTGATTGTGATTTGTGAATTCATAACACTGTCTTCTATGTGTTTTGTATTATTGTTATTTTTTTGCAGAATAAATGATCAGCTAATTATGGGACTACTATAGAGGAGTTTCACAATGAATTTTATAAAATCTAATCATATCTTATTCTTGTTCTGCTAGGCAAATTGTTTGGATATCCTATCCCTGCCATTATCTTCTGCTGTATTGTTCTCTCTTGCAGCTCACCTTCAAGAGGATTAACCATATTTAGAATTCATCAGATATTTTAACTATGCAGTATTATGTTGCTAATATAAAATTCTTTAAATTATACTAATAATTTTTATTCTATGCATTTTGTATTTTATTAAATTTCTCTATTTAATAGTCCTTAAAATTCAAATTACTGTAATTGTATCTTTGTCTTGGACATTTTGTATTTTATTTCATTTACAGCATAAAAAATGATTGGGAATTGAGAATGGTAAAGGAATGTCTTTATTTTTTCAGTTTTTTTGTGGATAGTGAGAGTGTCGGAAGACCACGAGGGGAAGTAGCACTACGACTCTTGCTGGAGTTAAATCATGAAGTTCGAGGTACATTTGTTGAGCAACCTCTACAGGAGATTCTTGACAACCAGCCAGATTTCTTCACTTCATTCACCTGTGTTATTGCCACTTGTTTGCCAGAATGGTAGGGCATGTAATTTTACTGTTATGTCATGACCACCCCAAGTAAAGCTCGTGGTTTTCTTTCCTCCCGCTCAATGGTTGGCACTCTTGGCCTCAAGTAAATCACAACTTTAATGGCCTAGGGATATAGTGAAAGTCTAGAATAAAAGCCCCCAGTTTACTGGGGTGACTATAATCTGCATGACATAGCTCTTTACAAGATATACACCACAATAAAGTTAATCATCATCATACAATAAAGTGCACTTGTCAAGGTGCACTAATCTCAAGGTACTAGTCACTGCAGCTAGATGTTACTAAGTTAATCAGATGACAAAGCTCAACAAAAAAAGTGAAATGCACCTAAATTGTGGACAAAATGGATAAATGGTGACATTCAAAAGCAGTCACTAAGAACTAATCAAAATTCGAGTCTCGAGACTCGACAACAATCGAGTAATCAGTGCGGGGACAACTTATTATTAACATAACAAAGCAACATATCAATGAAACTATACACTTTGCCCTCTAAAAAACTTAGTTCCAACTGGACTGGCAAAGTCAAAATTCCTTCCAAAAGTTAGTCCCACATGTCATGAAGCAAATGACTAAGTCCCCACAGGAAAATATATAATGTATGTAACTTAACAAGATTTACAAGTCAAAATATATACTGTATAGATACATTGATAACTTCAAAAACAATCGTCCACAAATAATCAAGTCTTACCTTGCCCGACAAAATATAAACAATACTACATGCTCAACAGAGCACAAAACATTCCCTACCTACAGCTACCAAAACAGTGAAGGCAGGCAGCTCATCCGGCCCTACGTGTCTGCTACACAGTACCAACTTTATAACCTCTCAGGGTACTTAAAACAACAAATAAACCTGAATAAAGAACAGAAACTAGAACATCTGCAGTTCTATGCATATAATAACAACTACATAATAGTAATTTATGAAATATTGGCAGTTCACACCTGCAAGGGTTGGCTGCCCTGAAGCATGAGACGGGAACACACAAACGTGCGCACAGTAATACAAGAATAGTAATTAAAGAGACTGGCCAGCACACGTCTCAATCAAATGAGCAATTCGGACACCCTATCTAGCACTTCAGTGATATCTAGCACTCTTTAACTGTTCTGTACCACAGTGGGTGCTAAATAGTCTTCCAGGCTTGGTGCCTTCTTGTGATAATTAATTGACTCCAACATAGTTTATATATATTCCACTGGCACTTAATTTTTTGCACGAGTATAAAGTACTGTATGAGGATTGAAGTTGATAATTTGTATATTTATGTGAACCATATTATTTGCTGAATTGCATTCTGTGGGATTTTAAAACTACTATGCAGTTCCTTTTTCTTATTTTACAGTACCTTGTTGATGCTCTCCAAAGTTGTGTGGGAAGCAAATGTTCCGCTGGTGGTAGTACGCAGCTATGGCATGATAGGCTACATACGAGTGCAGGTGAGCTCAAGTCTTTTGGTTAATTATTAAATTAATTAAACTTGAAGTTTATAGTCTGTACCTGTTTGCAGTGATTACTATGACAATTTTGTAATAAATTTGTATTAAGTCATACAATATTCATTATATGTGTACAGTAATTTAAATTTTGTTCGTCAGAATATAACTCTAATTTATGTAAATGACCTCCCAGAAGGAGTGAGTGCATATAATGTCAATGTTTACAGTCAATGCAAAGTTAATCAGCTGATGGCTGAGGAGGGGCCTAACTCCTGAGTGGACACGCTCAGGTTTCATAGTCCTAAAGGTCCGGGTTCGATTCCCGGCGGAGGCAGAAACAAATGAGCAGAGTTCCTTTCACCCAGATGCACCTGTTTGCCTAGCAGTAAATAGGTACCTGGGAGTTAGACAGCTGCTACGGGCTGCTTCCTGGGGGAGAGTGTGTGTGTGTGTGTGTGTGTGTGTGAAAATTAGGATTAAGTACTTGCTCGAAATGCTATGCGTGCTAGTGGCTGTACAAGAATGTAGGAACTTGTATAAATAAAAATAATAAAATAAATGACTAAGGTGCTACAAGGAGGCCTTAACAAACTTAAGGAGTGGAATTCAATGCAAATAAGTGTTCTGTAATGTAAGCATGGAACCCACACCTTGGTGAGGCAATGGTAACATACTCGCCCACGTGCCTTGCAAACTACTTGGTCTGGGTTTTAGTCTTGGTCATGGAGGATTGGCTGGGTGCCACTCCTTAACTGTTTGCCTCTGCTTACCCACGTTCAACAACGTAATTGAGTACGTTGTTGTTAATTGGTTGGTGGGTCGTATTCCTGGGAAAACTAGTAGGTAAAATTTTCCAGAAGCTATAGGAAGGAAAAGCTCTTGGCCTGTTAACAGGGACCAAAAGTCATCTGTTCCTGTACCCACCTTGGTGTAAACAAACAACCACCATGAGAAAGTTCTGAGGTTTGCAATTAAGATGGTACCAGAATTGAGAGGGGGCATGGCTATGAGGATAGATTAAAGGAACTCGCCTTTAAAACCATGAAGAAACCGAAGGATATGATCACTTCATACAAAGACCCTGTGGAGAATAGACAAAGTGGACAAAGGAAGCTTATTTAAATTAAAAGTGGTAAGACAAGGGGACATAAATGGAACCTGGACATTTTGGGAGATTGACAGGATCAGAATCTGGCTCTATGAAGTGATGGGAGTGGGGAGCATAAGGATTATAAACAATTTGTCTGGTAGATCCCAGATTTCCAGATTTACTGGTGGGTCTAGTGATCCAATGTTATGCGCCAGGACTGCATTTCCTGGCCCCAGTGCTCAGGTCTTGTCCTGGGAATTGAGCTATAGGCCTGGTGCTTCCTGGGCTGTGTGCCTGGTCATCACAGTTCAAGAAGGATTGCTATGTATACAGAACTGGATAAAAATATATTGATTTGTAGTTATATTTGGTTGCTACATGTGTTAAATATGCTTTCTTGATTCCTGGAAAAATTAGTGTCTTGGGCTCATGAGTGTATTAAACAATTTGAACTTGCAGTCCTACAACTGTTTTCTTGATTTCTTGAACATGCAATTAAGTCATTGATAAACACCTTCAAAGGGTACCTGATCAACCAGTCTGTGACTCGTATGTCAAGCTACGAGCAGCCACATTAAACAGCCTGGTTGACCGGACCACCAGCCAGGACCGGTCAGAGAATGGGCCGCAGGGACGTTGATCCACAGAATCATCAACAGGTATACGATAGGTATTGAGATGTAAGAAAGCTTTTGTTCCATGTACAGGTGGTTGTCAAGTGGAATGCATTGAAGTAAGAGGTTGTTGAAGTCAATATGATGCTAATGTTGAAAATGGTAATTAGCATGCCAGGTACAAACTACTAGAAGGCATTTGACTAATTATCTTGGACATGATTACATAGGTTTCTGTTTCTAATTTTAAAAAGAAAAACTACACATTACATTAAATATTTATGTGTAACTTTCATTATTTATTCCTTTAATTTTGCATTTTAAATTTATCATTTACAAATGTAGTTAAATAACTGTACAGTACATATAGTGATTTTTACCAGGCATCAGACTCTCGGTGATACAAACAAAATAAATTGATGTTATGATGATCCTAAAAATGTTTGAATTGCCTAAAAGCAACCAAGTTAAAAGCTTGGCATGCAGGTGTAGTGTAAGAAATGAAATGAATTCATAGTAATATTAAAAGTAAATGGTAATAGTTATAATACGGTAATTCTGTGTAGCCTGAAATGCATGTCAGAATATTGGCTGAATGTTGTATATCTGTGCCTGATGTGTATTTAATTTAATTTATCCTTTCTAAATTATCCCTTTTTTTACACATCATTCATGAAAATTCAGTTCTATTAATTAACATTAATGGAAAATAATTTCAAGTAGATTCATGGAAGTTATTCTGTCAATGATTTGGACAGAAAGAAATAGTATTAAAGAATTGATGGTATAGGAAAATGCAATGATTGAAAATCTACTTTTCATCATTGCAGATTGATTTAAAATGTTGCTTTTAAAATGGCACTTTAGTACAGTACAGTGACACAAGCTTTTATCTGATATTTCTTGTTTGAAGAGATGTACTTGTTACAGATGGAAGAGCATACAGTGGTCGAGAGCCATCCTGATAATGAGATTCCTGATCTGCGTTTGGACAGACCCTTCCCTGCATTACAGAAATATATGGATAGTCTCGACTTTGAAGCCATGGACAACAAAGAGCATTCTCATGTTCCATACGTTGTCATTCTTTACAAGTATTTACAGCTTTGGAATCAGCAGCATGGAGCTCCACCTAAGAATTATAAAGAAAGAAAAGCATTCATTGAGCTTTGTAAAACAGGTATGAGTCACGTGAATGTTCATATAAGGTTTCTTTTCATTTTGTTATTTATCTTTAAACCATTTTTGTCTGCTTAAAAAAGAAAATAAATCTGTACGAGGTGTTTTACCAGATTTGGAAAACCTAGGTTGTTTTGCACTATAAAGGCTTTCTCTTTAACATTGTACGCTCACAATTAATTGTATTAAGTGCATGTAAATAATGGCATTGATGTACATTGTGAGGTGGTTGGCCTTCAATTGCTGATGGAAGCACTTCAGTTTGAGAATTAAAAAGGGGAATCATTTATTCCCATACTGATCATTCTTCTCTTTGGTTACACTAACATTACAGTACCATTTGGTGGTCTACTCCATTTTGTCAGCATCCTTATTGATTATTTAATATATTATTGACTTATTTTCTTGTTTCACATTTTTTGTTCCATTTAATACTTGTATGTGTTTGTTGACAAACTCTTCAATTTTTTCTCAGTTCTGTTTCTCAGTGCAAACAAGTGATGACAGCTTCACTTTTACGAGAGCCAGACCAGCATTTAAACCTTTGTGTTGTACACTTCTAGGTTTTGAAATGTTTGACGGAAATATGTACAATATGTACTGTACTGTATGCACTGTACACATTTGCACTTCCTCAAGTATGGCAAGTTCCCAGAGAGAATAAAAGCTAATATTGTTAGTGTTTTCACCAAAGCAGAATGGTGAAGTACCTGGATCCAGCCAAGCTTTAGGGAGGTGCTTTTGGGAGATGACAGGATCAGAATCTGGCTCTTTCTATGAAGTGATGGGAGTGGGGAGCATAAGGATTATAGACTACTGTATTTGTCTCCGGTAGATCCCAGATTTGCTGGTGGGTCTGGTGATCCAATGTTATGCGCCGGGACTGCATTTCCTGGCCCCAGTGCTCGGGTCTTGTCCTGGGAATTGAGTTATAGGATCGATGCTTCCTGGGCTGCGTGCCTGGCCATCACAGTTTGAGGAGGATTGCTGTGTATACAGAACTGGATAAAAATATATTGATTTGTAGTTATATTTGGTTACTACATGTGTTAAATAGGCTTTCTTGATTCCTGGAAAAATTAGTGTCTTGGGCTCAAGAGTGTATTAAACAGTTTGAACTTGCAGATAATGTAGAGCATTACTATACTGTTTTTGTAAAATTGATTGTGCTTGAAAAATTTGCTGTACCTTTGTACTTCACACTAGTTATACTGAACAAGAAATATTACTTAAATAACCAGTGTTTCCATTTTATAATTCTAGGCATGAGAGAGAGAGAAAACAACGAACCCGAAGAAAACTTTGAAGAAGCAATAAAGGCCGTTAATACATCATTATTGCCTACATCCATACCAGCTGGAGTGCAATCCATCCTCAATGAGGCGGCATCTATAACACCTAGTCCTACAACTAAACCTTTTTGGATTATGGCGAGAGCCCTTCATGAATTTGTTACTTCAGAGGGACGTGGAGCTTTGCCAGTAAGGGGAACAATACCAGATATGACTGCCGACTCTGAGAAGTACATCAAAATTCAGAACCTGTACGCAATATTTACTTGTAGTTTTTTTATTAAGAATAATTAAATCAAAATATTCTTTTATCTCTACAGGCAATTTAATGTGCTGTCATCATTTGAGTAATTAATTCCATTGCAAGTATTCTCTCAACAAAATTAGTGACCACAGTAACTTGTTTAACACCCACTGTGGCATTTATTTGGGTTACCTCGCGTGTGATTTTGTTTATTTTACAAAATTCTATGACTCATTCAAGCATAAAGTTAGAGAAATTGATGGCTAGTTTTTGAAAAATGAAGAATAAATTCTAGAATCTATAATTTGGTTGTGGTAGGTCATAAAAGATGATTTTCTGTGGGGATCCCCTTCAGCTCCCTGGAGCTATCTGGCTAATATGCAATTCATTAGACCAGGGTTTTGGTCAAAGGAGTTCAGCCTTATGGGGACCATGAGCCAGATCCTGGCCCCCGTTAGAGAGGCACAGGCAGCAATGACCCTGGAAAACCTCCCTTCCCTGTGGTTGGGGGTTTTCTTTCTCTGCCATCAACTGGGGTTAGGCACCCAGAAAGGTAGGCATAACAAAACAGACCCACATGGTAAGAAAATTGCAGCTGAACAGAGAGGCAGAACTCCCACCAATCTCATGGAAACAAGCAAACGTCACACCCCACTGTTGTGCTGCTTGTCCGCGCAGACCTCCCCCCCCCCCCCCCCCACCTAGGAGGGGGAGGGAAGAGCCCCGGACTCCCTGCACCGATGTCCCAGCCATTCCAGTTTGTTGGCTAATGCAATCCAGGGAGGTCATCAACTTTGGCCTCTGTTTCCTGGCAGTGTTTTTATCTTCGTGGTGTGATGGCCTGAAGTGTATCGGGGCTGCATGTGCTTAGGTCAGCCTTCCCTAAGTGCGTTTCCTCGTGGCCGTCCTCCTACCACCATAACTGGCGATGGGAAACGGCTCTGGCGAGGTTGCGTATTGGCCATACTCGCTTAACCCGTGGTCACTTGATGGAGTGCCGCCCTGCTCCTTATTGTCCTAATTGCATTGTCCCTCTTACGGTTGTGCATGTCCTGCTTGAATGTCCTGACTTCCAGGACGAGCGTGTGTCTTGCTTTCCGACCGCCCCTCGCGGTCACCTGTCCCTCAATAGAATTCTTGGTGACTCGGATACTTTTGATATCGTTCGCCTTATGCGTTTTTGTTCTCGTATTGGCATCCTTGGTGATATTTAGCGCCCTCTGATTATTCCGCACATTTGATGGTGCTACATAGCCTTCTCGGTTTGGTGCCTTTTGATAATTATCTTTGATAATCTTCTTTGCACTCGTTCATATATTTGTGTATGGTACTCAATATAACATTTATCAGCATTACAATTTGATAGAAGCCAGGACAAAACTAAAAATTTTTGTATGAAATGTATGCAAAAGTAAGGAATCTGTATGCAAAAATAAAAATACCAAATGATGAAATAATGTATAGTGCAGTGAAGATGTTTGTTGGGCCAGTAAGTGCTACACTCATCATATGATGCTCAGAGACCGGCCCGAGCTAAACTACATCTAACATCAAATTATTTTGTGGCCTTTTGTGATTGCTGGGAAAAACAATTGAGCTATTTGAACTACAGCAACATTGTAATTCTAATGTTGACAGAAAATTTAAATCGTCATAGGAGTGCATTTCATGTGTCAATTAGCATATAATGATGACTGCACTTTAAGGATTAAAACCCAGAAACAATAATTCCTATAAATCACTAATATGTAAAATGATGTCTGAGAATTGTTTCTTGTGTGTTTAAGGTTTCACAATTAATACACATAATGTCCTGCCTTTATTTCTCAGGATCATCCTTGAAAATCTCGAAGTAATAGTGACTTTGACATGTAACAGTTTTGTAAACTCATTTTCTTTTTTAGATAGATTTAATATGCAAATTTAGAATATATTTGAATAAACTAGTGGCTTAACATTAGCTATATTTTTCATTATCGGTAAAACTGGTGCTAAATTTATAAAGTATTCTTAAAAAAAAAAAAGGAAAAAATTTGAGCGCGGATACTTTATAAAGGTATTTTAATGTTTTGCTCTGGTCTCTGAAGGGTTGTGTTGATCAGCAGCAGGGTTTAAATCTATTAACTTTTGCTGTCATGATGGGTATTGCTGGAAGTTCAGTATAGTCTTAACTTCCAACACCACAACCCTGTTCTACATAGGTTTATAATTGATTATTGTTAGTTTTATTTAGATTATGTTCTATTTAATTTAATTAATTGATTATTGTTAGTTATATAGTTATAATATATATGGCTATATTAGTTAATTTAGACCACTGTCTTGGCAACTTTGCAACGAGTTCTTTTTGGCAGTTATCGTGAGCAAGCAGCACAAGATGCCGACTGGGTCTTGAGACGAGTGCAAGAACTTAGCCAGCAGCTGGGTCCAAGGAAAATTATGGCATCAATAGACAGTGATGTTAAAACATTTTGCAAGAATTCTCATGCCCTGAGAGTTGTTAAGGGCAAGTCTATCGCAGAGGAATACAAGGGCAGCATTAATCTTGGTGAAATAGGTGTGTGTACTTAAATGCTGTCTGCTTATATGTATTCTTTGTAGTATTTAGTTCCAGTTGTGTGAATATGGCAAAATTAGTACATTTGTTTTAATGTCATTTGCTCTTTTGATAATGATGTAACAAAACGTGATTTTTCATAAAGCTCAGAGGAAAATAAAAAACTAAGAATGAGGTTCTGTAGCTTATAAGATTACTTAGCTGGACCCCCTTGCACTAATATCATGCAGGCACATTTTTGTTTATAATTTTGTGAAAGAGTTGGAAAAGTAATGACAGTATTTACACTACAGTACTGCACCTACATACCTCAGTTGTGAGTGGCGAGCAGTATCAGGGGCTCTAACTTTGATAGTTGTGCTTTACATAATTCAGTCATTGTTGTATGATTTAATTGTCATAATCAAGACTGGAACCACTTAAAGAGATCATTTTCACATCTGAGGTGGCTAAGTAAATATACGTTAATAAGTAGTTAATAAGGAAGTTAATAAGTACTTCCTGTAATTTCAACAATATCGCATGGAAAAAAAAATTGTGGCTGCGTGACTTCACATGCTAGGGATTTATATGATGCGTAGTAGTGTGAGGTGTATTAATATGAATTTTATTGAAGTTCTTTTGTTCAGAAAATAAATGTTATCCCTAAAATTGATTTAAAAGATACTGTACATTTCCAAAAAATTGAAAGTTCATACAGCACATAACATGATTGAAGATCATTTCTTGTACATTCATAAAATTAGACAGCAAATGTAATATTTTCTTCAGGTGCACACTTGGAGAATCCTGAGAGTGAGCTAGTGTGGTATGTAATGCTCCGAGCTGTGGATCAGTTTCATTCCGAGTTTCGAGCCTATCCAGGCTTTTTTCAGGATCAAGTGGAAACTGACATTGTACGACTAAAGGTCAGTGGTGGAGGGTACATAATTAATTTGGTTACCCAGGTAGGGATACCTTATATCTTTTTGTACTGGTGATTTATTTTTCTGGCTCCTTGACAGTTTTCTTTGTAGCCACTGTAATTTATAATACAAGATAAACAAATTGTGTATTTATTTTTAAATGCTAGAAGTATTGTGCAAATTTTTTTTATGGTAAATATGAATGTTACTGAAAACTATTTTCTTTCATATGAGTATTCATATAATGGCCTTACTTTCTCAGGTTTGTGTAAATAGGTTGTTAGCAGACTGGGGTTGTGGACCTATTATCAAGGACGATTTCATACACGAGATGTGTCGGTATGGCGCAGCAGAGGTGCACTCGATAGCTGCATATATTGGTGGATGTGCAGCCCAAGAAGTTATAAAGATAATTACCGGTCAGTATGTTCCCATTAGCAACACGCACATCTATAATGCCATAACAGCAACATCGGAAACGTTTATGCTGTGATTGCTCTATGATTTGACTGCTAGCAATAATGAGTCATCTAAATATAAATACAGGTATACAATATTGATAGGCTGTACAAGCACATACTAATTTCCCAATTTTACACAAATTTAAGCCATTTAGTATCATGTACAGGTACTCCATATTCTGCAGCGTGTTTGAATTATTCTATGCAGGGGACACTCTTTGCATTCTAGGGGTGGTAAGTTTGCTGCTGTATTTATTTCGGTTTATTGACGAGATTAACTTGAGTTTTAACCAGTTCTGTGGCAGTTTCAGAATCGTAAATGAGTTATGTCACTGTAATGGTCATAGCAAGTAATGAACCATGTCACTCTAATGGTTATAGTTAGTAATGAACCAAGTTACTGTAATGGTCATAGCGATTAATGAACCATGTCACTGTAATGGTCGTAGTTTATCTTGTCAGAATACCAGAACAAAATACTGTATTGTAGTAAAAGAAATGCAATTTGAGCCTTTATACTATTTAATCTGGTGTAAACTTGATGAAGTTTTGATTTAAGTTTACCCCCCGAGTGAAATGTTGGTGATGAAAGATTCGCCTTACTATAGGGGTCTTGTGGACCCAGTGACTTCAATGTTGGTTAATTTTGTTTCATGACTGCACAAAATTAAAAAACTAATTATAAATGTTGTATGAATCGGTATATTATTATTGGTGAAATATGAAGATATCCTTGGAATTGGGGCATTAAAGTGCCTAGGTTATGGAAGACAGATAGTTGATGTCATGGTATCTAAAATAATAATAATTTTTTTGTTTCAAATTCTGGTTTAAGAAAGTCTCTCTTTTTTCCCTATGAAGGAAATGTTTGCCTTGCATGCAACAAAGATTGTTCAAAATATTTCAGTGAACTGTTTTTGTAAAATAAAAGGATATTTTAACAATATATGTACATAATGAATTAATGTGAAATCTCCTTAGAAATATGATATATAAAGTTTTTTGAAAATCCTTTTTCATGTCAGAGGCTATTGGCTATTTACTGTACTGCATTTGTATCTGTAAACAAGAACTGTATGTAATTAAGTAAATCTTTCAACTGTGCAAATTTGTTACATTAACCTCTGTACTAATGTTGTTCAGGATGCTTCTTAAAAGGTGCGGGGCTTATATTGCAGGATTATCATGCGTTAACACTTTTGCTGCTGGTACAATTATAGAAAAAATAAATTATCATTCCATTACAAAAAAATTATTTCTAAGCCAAATGATCTTAACACGATAAATGTGAATTTGTCGTCATTTGCTACCTTATTCTGGGTTATTTCAATTTTTTAAATTGCATAGTTATTAGTAAGGCCTTAATACTTTGAGCCCCAGCATGCTCTGTTGATAGGTTCTTCAGGCACCTGGCTTGGTTTACCATGCCACACTTCTGGGCAAGGTAAGGTCATTATCAGGAGAAAATGCCAAGCTGTTAAAGATTATGTAGGACTCGGAAGGGATACATGGACAAGGATTTAGGATGGGACAGAGAGAAGGAATGGTGCCCAGCCACTTGGTGATCGAAAGCCGACCTGCAAAAAGTGACACCTTCGCTCTACCGTTCAGTCCAAGTGGCTAGGCTACTTCTAGGAAAAAAGCTGGACCAGAGCTCTGACTTTGTCATCCATGTGTTTGCTGTCATGGTGATCCATGTTTCCTTCGTCCTGGAAATAATGCTATCTGGTAACTGCAGCTCCTGGAGGGAAACTGCTGCGTTGATGGAAAGGATGAATAATAAGGGTGAAACAAGTGTGACTAAACTGGCTAGTCTGGCTATAAAGCTAAGCTGGAATAGGATCAAGCAGACACTATGGGGGACTGTATTCCTATACGTTCCTGAGTTACCATTCAACCTCTCCACTGGTTACCTGCAAAGAACTATAATGCATATTCTCAATTCACTATACGTGGTGAGTTTAGTGCTGTATAGTAGTCATACTGCCTTAGTATTTTTGTTCGATTAACCATTGCTTCTACCAACTTAGTCATGTTGGCCAGACCATGTTTTCTTCTGCCAACATGGCCCAACTTCTGCTTAGAGCACTGTTGGGCACATGTTGGTAAGTTTTTTTTTTCTTCCACAAACATGGCCACACATTTACAATGCTAACCAGTATATATACATTTTCTTGTCCTCCATGGACAGGGTTAGAGTTCTGTTAAACATATAATTCAGTGATTTATTGAACAATCAACCACAGGTGATTGCAGGGCTTTTAAAATTCTAATCTAACCTACACACAAAACTACACAGATTTACATGTCATATAAAGTATATATATAAACTGTTCAAGGTGTCTTTTTACATAGTCACTAACGTGCATTTACATAAGTGAAATGGAATTCTGACCAGCTTCCACATAGCCTGTATACAAATACACATACATATATACATGTCGTACCTAGTAGCCAAAACGCACTTCTCAGCCAACTATGCAAGGCCCGATTTGCCTAATAAGCCAAGTTTTCATGAATTAATGTTTTTTCGACTACCTAACCTACCTAACCTAACCTAACCTAACTTTTTCGGCTACCTAACCGAACCTAACCTATAAAGATAGGTTAGGTAGGGTTGGATAGGTTCGGTCATATATCTACGTTAATTTTAACTACAATAAAAAAAAATTGACCTCATACATAATGAAATGGGTAGCTTTATCATTTCATAAGAGAAAAAATTGAGCAAATGTATTAATTCAGGAAAACTTGGCTTATTAGGCAAATCGGGCCTTGCATAGTAGGCTGAGAAGTGCGTTCTGGCTACTAGGTACGACATACACACACACACATACACAGTGTGTATATGAGCCTGGTGGATAGCGCACAGGACTCGTAATTCTGTGGCGTGGGTTCGATTCCCGCACCAGGCAGAAACAAATGGGCAAAGTTTCTTTCACCCTGAATGCCCCTGTTACCTAGCAGTAAATAGGTACCTGGGGTCAGCTGTCACGGGCTGCTTCCTGGGGTGTGTGTGTGGTGTGGAAAAAAAAGTAGTTAGTAAACAGTTGATTGACAGTTGAGAGGCAGGCCGAAAGAGCAAAGCTCAACCCCCGCAAACACAACTAGGTGAAACACAACTAGGTGAATACAACTAGGTAAATACACACATACTGTTATGACCCCAGGAAGCCTGAAGAACGGGTCTACCTATCTGAGAGTTATTCCACATACGAGACCAAATTGAGAGGGTCAGAGAAAAGATTATATATATCTATGCAATAAATGTCGGTGGTTAAATTTAAAATTTGAGTAGAGGATGAACATGTAAATAACTGACAGAGGGAGATGTCGATACTTTGAGGACATGATGTGAGGCTCGCTAGGATGTCTTGACCTTACTTGAGTAACAGGTCGGGAAAGAGGGTCGCGCTTTGCTGAGCTCCTGGCAAAGGAGGAAGCCCTAATTGTGTGCTCCTACAAGAGGAGGTGATCAAGCAGGTATTAAGCTCGAGGACGATTTAAAGTGTTCAAGTCAGGACTAGAAGAAGCTTTGTGAGGCCGCCCTATAGAGATTTTGTGGGTGACCTTAGTGGGCGCCATTGTGAGGACCAGGACCTGAGCGCCCTCGAGACAGACTCTGCGGTAAGCTCATATAACACTTGTTACAGTGGTTAATTGCGCTTGATCGTGTGCCCAGCGATCATGGCAGATGTTTATATATGTAGGATAGATATTTTATTAAGGCAGTAAGCAGGAGTAAGAGAGTAGAGGTAGGAGAACATCATAGAGGGAGGAGTGATACGTCCTCCCTCGACGAAGGTCAGTGGATGACTGAGGGGGAGGGGGAAGCCCCCAGCTGGTGGCTGTGGCCAGCAGCATGTCTGGACACGTCGAAGATGGACTCGCCCAGGGTGGGGGAAGACCGTCATGGCGACGCGTTAGAGTTTGAAGATTTGTCGGATGGAGGAGTTTTATTTTCTGTGAATACATTTAATTATGTATTAGTAGTGAAACGTATTCGCATGGCAATGGAATTGCAGGTTTGTTTGGGGGAGGAGTTGATGGAAGAATTTTGAGGCGGGGGAAGGAGTTAATGGAGGAAACTTCGAGGCTGGAGAAGTGTATGCTGAAATCTGTGGGAGAGCAGAATGCCATAGTGAGCAGTTTACCTCAAGCAGTGTAAGGGAGCAGTGAGGGTAGTTTCACGTGTCTCTGTGGAACCAGTGAGGAAGCATCCCTGGTGTTTGAAGAGGACTTCATTGTGCAGCAGTTTTGGGAGAACTACAGAAGTATTTTGTTGAATATTTTGGAGAACCTAGAGATGTACATCGAGATGTGAACTCTCGGACTCGCACTCTTTCCTGTCTTGATCTTTCTCTCTGCTCGTTGTCCCTGTACTTAGATCTCACGTGGCGGGTTCTTGATGAACTCCATAACAGTGACCATTTCCCCATCCTCGTTTTCTTTTTCTCTTTCTACCCTCCCCTCCACCCCTAGGTCACCCTCCGTGCTACTCTCTCTGACCTCTCCTCTCTGCCTCTTCCTCGCGCCCTCCTCCTTTTTCATGACACTGACTTCGACGCTGCCCTGCGCTCTATTCCTCGCTTCACCTCCCGGGGCACGCGGAAGTGCGTTCCCTGGTGGAATGTGAACTGTGCTCGGGCTGTCTGCTGTAAGCGTGCAGCCTGGAAGAAACACTGACGCCGGCAGACGGCTGATTCTTTTATTTTGTTTCGGAAGGCAAGTGCGGTGGCCCGTAGGACCATCCGTACAGCTAAACGTGAGAGTTGGAAATCTTATGTTTCCATCATTACGTTTGATATTCCTCTGCCGCAGATCTTGAAGAAGATCTACAAGATAGCGGGTAAGTTCGTTCCAGATGTCTCGCCGGTTCTTCTCCTCCGTGGTACTCTTGTGGCGGACCCAGTGAAGGTCGCGACCGAACTGGGCTCCAACTTTTCTACTGTTAGTTCTGGTTCTCATCTTCATCGATCCTTCCTTCTTCGTAAGCCCGTTCTTGAATCTCATCCCTTAGATTTCCGCACTCATCTCCGCCTTCCCTATAACGATCCCTTCTCTCTCTCTCTGAACTTCAGTCTGCCCTGGCCCTCTGCGGTTCTACGGCAGCGGGTTCGGATGACATTCATTATGAGATGCTTCACCATCTCCCTTCTTGCACGTCTCAGTATTTGCTGAGTCTGTATAACCAGGTCTGGGAGTCGTCGTCAGTCCCTGAGGACTGTCTCCATGCCGTTGTACTCACTATTCCCATGAATTATTATAGGCCAACATAAGAATAACATTTAGAAACTTGTGTAAGGAATTGTAACGGTTCTATTGTTACGTAAAGTATGGTGACAAATAAACACAGACACTAAGATACTATATATATATTTGGTCGAATATACAGAAGTACACAGGTGATACTTTGGTGTGAGTTGAGCGCACTGAGCGTCGGTACAGTATCTCGCAAGTGTCTGCTCTAGACCACACTTGAAAGTAGACTCTGGTTTAATATTTGCTATCCTGCTGCTTATATGCCCGGGCAACTCCTCACCGTATTGCTCGGGCAACGCCTCACCTCATTCATCTCCAAAGGTTGATAGGAATATTAACAATGCATTTGGAGCGAGTATATTATTGGATAATCTACTCGCTACAGAATCATTCAGAACCTTGTATACCACGTATGTCAGACCAATCCTGGAGTATGCAGCTCCAGCATGGAGTCCATATCTCGTCAAGCATAAGACTAAATTGGAGAAGGTTCAGGGGTTTGCCACCAGACGAGTGCTCGAACTGAGAGATATGGGCTACGAGGAGAGACTAGGAATTTAACCTCACGTTGCTGGAAGACAGAAGAGTTAGAGGGACATGCTCACCACATACAAGATTCTCAAAAGAATTGATAGGGTAGTCAAAGACAGTTTATTTAGCAAAAGGGGCACACACTAAGGGACACAGGTAAAAATTGAGTGCCCAAAAGAACCTTAGAGTGAAACAAACGAAAGAATTTGTTTAGTGTCTGAATAGTTAACAAATGAAATGCGGGGAGCCGGTCGGCCGAGCGGACAGCACGCTGGACTTGTGATCCTGTGGTCCTGGGTTCGATCCCAGGC